TTTCCTGGTCAATGTAATTCCAGTGTACAAAGCCGACTGTGCGTGTAGGCTTTTTGTGGTAAAAGAGCAAATCTGTAGCCCAACCGTTTGCCCAAAAAAGCATACAGATTGCATTTCAGCATTAGCTAACATTTGGAACTGAACTTCTTTGAAGAAAATTGCTATATTTTAAAACATTGTGTGATGCTGAGATGTTTGAAATGGATCTGACATTAGAACATTTGCTGTTGTGTCTTTGAAAACCTATATTTAGGGATTTGGTAATGAAAGACCTTGGACTTCCACTCATGAGCTTAGCTAGATGACTTTAAGCTTTTTCTCTTGCCCATGTTGGTTAGTAACTGAAGACGTTCGATTTGTGTTCATGAGAATAGGAATACAGTTGTCTAACTCAAGGCTGAAATGGGCTAGTGGGCCTAGAAATTATACACGATGTGATTGCAGGTCTTGATTCCTATGAAAAGTAGGCTAAAAATAAGCCTGTATAGTATTTGAATAAGTTCTAGTCTAGGCTAATGCATCTAGGAACATTAAAAGACCCAGTCTTGGCTTGGGAACATGTACCCTTCTGCCTGAAAATAATGTCATGATCCAAGCAGATTAAGATGTTTATCTAACTGGGAGAACAGCTGCAAGGGCATTTCTCTGGGAATATGACTGAAATGTGTCACTTGATCGAGCTTCCTGCGGCTTAAGCAACGGGGAGTGCTGCGTTACGTGCACATCAGCGTGCAAACCTGGTGCTGTGTTCCTGCAAACATGAAGATGGACAGCTCTGCCATGCAGGAAAATAGGTGAACTTGTAAATGTGCCCTCTGCAGTCCCTTACTGGGATGGGCTGTTTCACCGGCGCTCGCTGAGCGTGGCGATGCCACGGGGAAGCAGCAAAGGCCTCAATGTTAGGGCAGAGGTTGGAGCGTTGAGTATGTTCCGTTCGGTTCTGCCATGCTGATTGTGCCTTGCGGAGCGCCGCGGTTGCCCTGCCGGCTCCGCAGAGCGTTGTCAGGAAGTGAGTGTAGCGGTGCCCGCAAGCTGGAGGGAAGGGAGGGAGGTTTGCTGGAAAACAGGCCGTGGTGGCACTGACGAAAACCAGTGCTGCCTGGTGTGTCTCAGTACCCTCTTCTGGGGTCAAACGGGCAAATGTAAGAAGGAAAACTTTGTTCTAGCTACTAGAAAAACAGATAAAGAGAAATGCAATGCCTTTAAGTGTATTTTAATATTGAGCTGTGTAAATCTATAGCCTTTCTGTTGTGTGTTTTCTGGTGTGATAAGCTAAATATTTACACTAGCTGAACAGTGAATTACTAGTTTTTGTGTGTGTGCCTGCAGCTCCTGGTTCAGTTTTTCAACTAGCTTTGCAATTGCTGCAGATACTTTTTCACTAAAAAGAGTCATTAAAAATAAAGTTTTCATAGAGACTTTTGAAGTTTTACATTTAGCAAAAGTGTTGCTTCTCTTTGACTTGCAGTGTTCTGGTCCGCATTCTGCTCAGTTAAGAGCAGGCTAAATGCATTATGTTTTATTCTAACCTGTAGCAGCTATGGAGAATTCTGATTTCATAGCTCCATGTCTGTATTTGACTTTTCAGCATGAGTGTAATAACCGTAAGGATTGCTCATGTCAGAGAGCCTCTGTAGGTATAGCCAATTACACACTGATTAAAACTCAGCAAGAGACTGAGTGCGTAATTAGGAAGCCTTAATAAAATATTGTCAACAATACTATCGAAAGAGCCTTGTATTATTACATTTTAGAGCACATTTGCAGGCTGCACACACAGATTTTTATAAGCACACGCTTTTAACATCAGCTTGTTTGGAGCGTATCTGTAATGTCACAGGCTTCATAATCTAGGATGATAGTTCTGAGTAATTCATCTTCTATGCTGATAATTATTATGCTTTATGCATAGGCACTGTTCATCATCATTGTGTTAGTTTTTTTTTTTTCTTAAGAAAAAAGGAAACAAGTCTCCATATGCAATATAAAAGGTCATGCTGTTCTTTTGTGGAAAGCTGTGCTGCACTTTCATTCCCTGTTGTTAAGTTGAAGGAAATTGTTATGTTTGTGTTCTATTTGAATCCCATTCATTATCTTAATAATTCGAGTTCTACTCATATGTCCTTCAGTGTCTGATCTTATATCAGAAACAGCTGTATAGTTCTTTGTGCTTTGCCATTATTCTATTAAATAATGGCTGTTGCCAAATACTTGGCATTGTTAGAAAAAAAAATCCTACTCATTCATAACTTTCCTGACTATGGCTGATGTTCTTTTGTGTGTGTGTAATATGTTATTATATCCGAGGTGAGTGTACTTGAAACTGACAGCTAGAAGCCTGAACTGCTTCATTCAGATGATTTTCATGTTAAAAATCCTTGAGGTTGGAGGCAGCTAAGATATTAGGCCATGCAGGCTCTCTTGCTATCAATGCATTACGTAAAGCAACCTGAAAAAGATGCCTGCTGTCGTTGCACAGAAGCTGCGCGCAGCCTGAGTCTCCCTTGGCTTTAGTGCGGTACAGGAGCGATGGGCATCAGCAGAACGAGTGGGCTGCCCCGTCCGTGCCGTGTGCTCGTAGCGCCCGGCTGCTCCGTGGGGAGCGCGCGGTGCTCCCAGGGCTCTGCTTCCTTTGAGAGCCCGGCCACTTGCATTTCTTAATAGTCCTCATTTAATAATCATTCTGGCTTCTTGTTTAGCGCATCGAGCCTTTGAACAAGCATGGCGCACTCAGCTTTGCAGGTTGAGCCCCTCGCTCCTGTTTGTTGTACGTCCCCAGGATGTTTCTGTAGAATTCGTCCAATTCCTGGCAAGAACAGACAAAGAAGAGGCCAAGAGAGTCACTCGGGCAGCAGCCCCAGGGGAATGTGTCCCAGCACTCCAGTTTACAAAATCTGACAAAAAAGTCTCATTGATGCTTTTTCCTTCCTTTCCAGCTCTGTGCAGCTGCCTAACTCCAAGGCAGCCTGTAACTGCCAGATAGTTTAGCTGCTTATTTGCTTTGGTGAACTGAACATGGTGATTTTCCTAGTTTTGTCTCGTAAAAAGCAGTGCTGTGCTGGCAGTGAATTTGGCTGCACCTTTAAGCACTTGTGAATAAAACAGGCCAAATAAAACTTGGATTGGAGATCAGCTTGTACCCAGGCCAGGGTGTGCTTTCCACGCCAGTTCCCAAATCAATCTCCGTACCAACTTCTGGCTATCAACACGTGCAAAGGTTGCAAATATGCAGCACTGATGCATGCGCAGTGTAAAATGCTGCTGTCCCATCTCTGCGCTTCTTTTTGCAGGACGGAATAGATCCTTTCCCGCAGTAACGTGTCTGTCGTTCTGCCCCGCAGTCACCTGCTGCCTGGGTCAGGCCGTTCTCGGAATTCTGCCTTCTGCTTCTTGCATAATTGAAGTAATTTTAACCTCCCACATGTTTCTTGTTGTACTGGAAATGTAACTGTATGTTTGCTAGATGTGTGACATTGTTGTATAAATACCAGAGGCTGCTGCTACAGTTTTGCTTTCCATACCAAACAAAAAATGAGGTTTTTTTTTTTTTTTTTTGGGGGGGAAGGGAGCAGTGTGATTCTTTTGCCAGTTTTTGTAGGAAAGATTTATTTTACTAAGTGAGTGCATACATTCAATTCTGCAACTCATGTTAAATTATAATCTGGGAGTAATTGCTGATGAATATTGTGAAGTTAATGCCTTGCATGCTAATTATAACTTTGGTCTCCTACTGAAATATATCTGTTTTGTGTAGCTGGATGTTTCTTTAGATGGCTTTGCTTAGTTAAGTCACAGCTAATCTTGCTTCATGTATAATAACCCACTTTTAATTAAATAGGAAATGTTTTCTACTTGATTGACCTAGATAATTCCTATTTTCGTTCACTGCTTTTAAGCAAAGTCATTTAGCTGTTGTCCTAGCCCTCAATGTGTGTTCGATGCCCTGGCACAGCTAAACTGGGATTAGAGCTTCGATGCACCTCAACATTTGTCTATAAACCACTGTATTTTTTTACTCGGATTCATTCTGTGTCTGGAGTTGTAACGAATTCGTTGGTGCTCAGTTTTATCACCACTCACTGCTGTAAATAGAGCAAGGGATGTTTCTCTGGATGTGACATTGTGTAATCTGTCTCCTTTGCAGAAATTCACTACCTCCAGCAGCAAATCAAAGCAGAAAGACAGTGCCGCGTGTGTTCTGTCGTTATTATTATTATTGCGCCTGCCTTTGAAGGCAGGGAGGCAGATGGCAGAGCTGGAGGCGGCGGCTGCCCCAGGAGGTGGCAGTAGGACACAGCCGAGCAGGCCCTGCCACGCGGCGCCTCCTCGCGCAGGGCGTGAGGCCTGCGGGGCCGTGCGGGGCCGTGCATGTCCGTGCGTGAGCTTTGCGTTCCAGGCCCGCCCTGGCGTGCCTTTCCCGCCGTGTGAAGGGCGCTCGAGCCCCGCGGGAGGTCGCAGCACCCGGGTGCGCAGGAGCGGCCGCGGGCAGGGCCCGGCCTCCTGCCCTCCGCGCGGGCAGCGCCGCCCAGGATGGCTCCTTCTGCCAGGCCTCTCCCTGCCCTTCCTCCCGCTCTCCTCCTCCTCCCTCGCCCCACCTCCCCATGGAGCACGCGCTTCCTTCATCCCAGGCCAGGCCTCCGGCGCGAGCAGAGCACTGGGACGGGGACTGCCCACATGGAGAAGGGTGAGGACGGCCGGGTGCTGGTGCTTGGGGACAGCGCTGGGCTCTGGTTCCGCCTGGGTTGGAGCAGGGTGAGCGGAGCCCGGGGTTTTCCAGCCCCAGGCTGCAGCGCTGCTGCCCGGTACGAGGCAATGATCCCCTTGGCTTTTCACAAACCATTTTCCACACATCGTCAGGCTGACGCTCCTCATTTGGTCGTGTCAGTAAAAATGCCTGCTTCAGCCCGACATTCGCAGATCGGCTTTTGTGCCCTCCTAGCACTTGTGGTGTGGTAACACTGCTCCCAGGGAGCAAGCTGCTCCCAAGTTGTGCTGGAACTATGGCGTGCAAAAGTATGCGTTAACTTTGAATCAGAACTGAAGATGTTACTAGGGCCCACCTGATAAAATGGAATGAGATGGCAAGTCTTGTAAGAGCTTGGAATAATTTCAGTGTCTTTCCCTGGTTGGAGTATTC